TAAGAAAATTTTTTTAATATTGAAGTTTCGAAGACGTTATTGATTACTATAAATTCATTGAACTGTTTATTAGCTGAATCATTTCACGGAACTTGATTTCTTGTATTACTGTTCTTCAGTTAAAATAGAATATGTAATCTCATTTCCAATATCTTATTTACGAGGAACAATCTTGTAACAGAATGATTGAACCAATTTGGTAAATGATTTGTTTAAACACGAATGAAGTATTTAAATATAAGTAATGTACACATCATTCGACACATTTATTTTGTATATTTCTGTGTGAGTTGTTTACCTTGTTAAACCCGTTCACCCTGCCGCCCCCTCTCACGCTAAACATAAAGCTATCGAGACGACTACCGATTCTCCTAAACGTATGCCAAAGAAATAAAGATCGACGCAATGTATTCGCCTGTGTTAAGAAGAATCGTTATTTATTCAGATACAATGTCACAACTCTCCACAATGGTCGGACTTTCACGTGTCAAACTTGTTCTCCGCGCACAACCTGGAGTCCTTTTTCTTCCGAATGTGCAAATTGCCAACGGACATGAGTCTTGGCGAGATAGTGCGCAAAGTCGGCGCGAAGGATGTGCAGAAGCTAATATTCCAGTATTTCGGCAACTTGAACATGAACCTGACCAGGGAACACCTGACAGGATTCCCGAAGTTGCAACGACTGATTCTATCGTCAAATAACTCGACCAACCTAAGCAGCGATTTGTTCGCGGACATGCCGGACCTCACGTGGCTCGACTTGCGCGAGAACAATGTGCACCTGCCAGCTGGATTCTTCAAGGACGCACCGAACCTGGAAGTGCTCGAATTAGGCCGCAACATGATAACGAGTATCGAGCCGGGCCTATTCGACGATTTAACAAAATTACGTTTGCTAAATTTATGGCAGAACAAACTGATGGAGATCAAGTCGGGCACGTTCGACAAACTAGTCTCCCTGAAGTCCTTAGACATCAACTCTAACGAATTGACTACTTTGCCCAAGAATGTCTTCGAGAAGCTGAAGAATCTGGAGGTCCTAAATTTATTTGGCAACAACTTCACATCCCTACCGGGGGATCTGTTCCAACACAACAGAAAACTTAGAACAGTGATCATGTACGGGAACAAGAAGAATATGACGACCCTGCCGAGCGGGTTATTCTCGAATCTGACGGAGCTGAAACTAGTGCAGCTCAGAAGTAATGGTCTAATCACGGTACCGGAAAATCTGTTTTGGGGTTCCATCTCGATGAACAATATTAGTTTGGAGAGGAACTATTTTGAATCCCTCCCAGAGAATTTATTCAAAGGATTAATCAATTTATCAACGTTGGAACTGAGTTTTAATGAACTGACTTCGCTACCAGATCAAATTTTTGTAGACTTGAAGAATTTGATTAAGCTGGATTTGTCTAAGAATCATATTGCTTCGATATCCAGGTACGTTGCGCCATTATAATAATGTTTAATAAGTACAAAATTATTACATATAATGATTGCATACCTAAGGACATCTGAATAATAAGTTTCTTTAACAAACCGATGAAATGATTGCAGGCATTTATTTGAAGGTTTAACAAAACTGAAGATATTAAATATGAAGAAAAATCAATTGCGGGTAATAGAAGATACAAGTTTTAAGTATTTAGAAAGTTTACAAATTGCAATATTTTCCGACAATCAGCTCACATTGAATAATTCATTATCTGTATACCATGATGAATATGGAAAGAAATCACCATTTCATCATTGCCCCTCTCTAGAAGAATTATATCTCGATAGGAATAATATTTCTGAAATATTTGGTGATTGGATTATAAGCAGCTTAAGTTTACAAATATTAGATCTTAAACACAATCAGATACCTTACATTTCGGTGAGTACATTAATCAAATTTCTAATGAACCACCAGGTACAAATTTCATTTGAATGAATATTTCGTATGAAACATTTCAGACTGAAGATCTGCAATTTATATCAAGTAAAATTAAAGTGGACCTAAGATATAATAATATAAAACATATCTATCTGAACAGTGCTGAAAAATTAGCAAGTTTTCACATCTCACGTGATGTAATTATACTAGTGGACAATAATCCAATAGCTTGTGACTGTGATTTGTATGATTTTGTTCGGTACTTAGAAGGAAAAATGCATCCCAATGTTCAAAATTATTTTCATATAATATCAGGAGATTTAATGTGCCAAAGTCCAGAATGGATAATGAACATATCTGTGTCCAACCTAAAATCTAAATCTTTAAAATGTAATGTAGTGGATATATGTCCAACAAATTGTACATGTTGGGTGAAACCATACAACAAAGCTTTCCTAGTTGATTGCTCTTATAGGAACTTGACAAACATACCACGCAATATTCAAGCTTTACCTAACTATCAACTTGAATTGAATTTTACGGGAAACAAGTTATCTCAACTGTTACCACTGAGAGACATTGGTCTGGACAATGTATCAATATCAGAACTGCTTTTGTCAAATAATGATATCTCGAATGTGCCCTTGGATGCATTACCATTAGACATTAATGTGAGTAAAATTTTGTTTTTACATTATCATACAAGCAATTTCAACAATATAGCAAAGTGCGTTATAGATATAAAAGAAGTGATATCGCAAATTTTTATTCTTATGATTAATATTATAATATTATGTATTACATGTTTCAGGTTTTGGAATTGCATAATAATAACATTAGTAGAATGAATTCCGATGTTTTATATTTCATGAGTAATTCTACTAAGTTGAAAACCATTACACTGCATGGAAATCAATGGGCATGCGACTGTGATGCGAGAGATGTTCTAAACTTTGTTCAAACGAAAGTTATAGAAATTCCAGATTCTTTACACATCACATGTAAGGATATGAAGATTCCAATGTTGAAAATGACAGCAACAGACTTTTGTCCTGCCAAAACGGCAATGATCGTAGGCATTAGTGTGGCTGTAGCATTCACTGGACTATTGATTGGTGTGTTAGCAGCGTTATACTACCGATACCAACGAGAGATTAAAGTTTGGTTATACTCGCATCAACTCTGCTTATGGTTGGTAACCGAGGATGAATTAGATAAAGATAAATTATACGATGCTTTTATAAGTTACTCGCATAAAGATGAAGATTTCGTTGTGAACGAATTAGTATCCAAGTTAGAAAATGGACCTAGACCATTTAAATTGTGCTTACACTTTCGGGACTGGTTAGCGGGAGAGTGGATACCAAAACAAATTGCTCATTCAGTTGATAATTCAAAGAGAACGGTCGTCGTATTGTCACCAAACTTCTTAGAAAGTGTTTGGGGACGAATGGAATTTAGAGCTGCTCACAGTCAAGCTCTTAGTGAAGGTCGAGCAAGAGTTATTCTAATTTTATATGGTGAAGTCGGTTCCATCGATAATTTGGACCCAGAACTTAAAGCCTATTTGAGTATGAATACCTATGTGAAATGGGGTGATCCTTGGTTTTGGGATAAATTGCGATATGCCTTGCCACACCCACCAGAATTGACAAAAAATACAATTAGAAGAAAAATCTTTGCAAAACACCAACCGAGTATACAACTTAATGGTGAAAAAAAAGAACTTATCTACCCAATTGGTACTCCTGAAACGCCACCTGCAGCGAGTACCCCTCCGGCAGATACAATTAAAATATTCATGTGCGACACAGAGATTAAAAAAGATAGTTCTGAAAAGTTAAATGTATCGAATAGCAATGGAATAATTACGTTCTCTCCTGAGCAATTGATAAAAAATAATTTAGTTAACAAGGTACAATGTACCACTGTATAATATATATACATATATTACATTTTATATATATATATATATATATATATATATATATATAACATTTGACTGACATAAATTTTTGAGATTGAACTTATTTAAAACAAGATTTCTTACTT